CTATGATTTAGCAGATGATATATATCCAGAATGCATGGTCCACTGTTGATCATTCTTTTGTTGCACCATCAAATCTAATGGGTGAATTTTTAAATGAGATAAGTGGCATGTAGAAAAGATATTGAACGTGCATTTGGAGTTTTGCAAAAAAAGGTTCACAATTGTCGTGGGTCCCGTTTGTTTCTGGAAAAATAGATGCTTAATGATATAATAAAATCATGTTTTATTTTGCAATATGAATGTCGAAAATCAATGTGACCTTAGTGGAACAATTAGGAATGATGCTCAATTTAGTGCTTCAACAATTACTCCAGAATCGCGAGATCACATCTCTTTTCAACAATTTCTTGCTCGACACAAAATAATCAAGAATAAGACAACCTACTCTGAACTTCACAAAGAATCGGCGCTGCGCATTTGTTGCAGAAATATTTTCATGGCACTAACTAGTGTTGTGTTTGTTTTTCCTAGTTACAGATGCTTCATGTTTGTGTTGCAAAAATAGATGCTTCATATTTGTGTTTATTTTTTTTTTTTTTAATATTTTAAACTAATGTTTGTGATGAAATCCATGTCATTTTATCAATTTTAAGGTTTTAATGAAATATAAGCAATGCGTTTTTTCATTAATTCAAATATGTAATTTAGTTAAATCTTATTAATATATAATTAATATATACATAACTATGTAAATTTTATGCAAGCGTATTGCATTAAAATGTAGTTTGTAGAGACTATTTAATAAACTAACAAATTTAGAAAACAAGTATGTTAGGAATATTTTTTTAAAGGGAAATTATAAAGTAATTGTGTTGGAGTTGCTGACACTATTGAAACATTAAAACTAGTGAGATTTACTATAGAAACTCTAAAAATGGAGCGTGTGGAGTTGCATATTGATTGCCCCCATCAAATGAGGTGGTGCCATTTTATAGTATTCATTTTATATTTGTTTTTAATATTTGCTAAACAACTCTTTTGTTATAGAGATGTCCATGAGTACCATATCAAAACTTCACATTATTGAGTCATGTCCATGAGTACCATATCAAAATAGAACAATCTGGAACAAAGTTTTTCCTAGGCACATCCACGGGGAGATAACTAGCTGATCATATGTTAGATCACACAAATTCAATCACACTTTGTATTGATCCAACGATAAAATATTAATCGATGTGAAAAATAAGTACGAATTTTCTTGTATTTACACGAATGCGTCGATATAACATTGAAAAAACTCTATATGGACAGGTAAGATACAAATATTCCTATACAACTAGTAATATTGTAATAAGTGCAATAATACTAACTTGTATTTCTACCTTCACTAGATGGGATCTTATTTGAAAATTCCCTCCTTGAGTACTTAGATAAGCGTGGAAATAAAATTAACAATTGTTGATTGATTATTAGAACCGGGAGAAGAGAGTGATCATGTCCCACCAAGTGAACCGCACCATAAGAGAGTGAGCGTAGTGATATTCCAGCATTCATCGATCTTACAATAATCACCTAATGATCTAAATTAAGTATCAAGTGGTTTGAAAAATGTGGACTCTCGAGTAGAACGATACACATCTAAGTAGGTGTGGACTCCTCGAGTCTAAAGATAGGCAACTTAATAATTGACCCACCTTTTGTTGATATTTAAGTAAAATTTGAATTGCGAAAGACACGTAGATTTGCATGTGAAGATAAAATTATAAACAAATCCTGAAATGGCTCAAAACTTGTAAGGTTTGTGCTATATTTTTTTTTATTAACAATGTTGTCAATGTGTTCACACGAATGTATAGTTAATTGCAGGATACGACCTTTTCTCTTGTAAATTGGATAACCTTAAAAAAATACTATAGTTAATTGCAATGGAATCATCTAGAAACGCTAGTTACGTACTCGACTTGTAAGGAAACAATATTTCATGCATGTTAAAAAAAACATTATTCTTAAAATAGATTCACCCTTTGTGAGTGTATATTTTTCAAAGTACAATAGTAAATTCGAATAAAACCCAGTGAATTGAAATTAAAGATGTATCATGGAAGGAATTATTTTTTAAATTTTATATATGCAGACGTGAATTTAAAGATTGTCAAAAGATTATTAATTTGATATATCATATAAAAAACATAGATAACAAAGTTTTAAAACATATCTCTTCTATATCTCACTGCAGAGTTATTAGAATTTAAATGTCAAGTGATACTTGATAATTAATCTATTTGTATGTATACTTTGTGGTCTTGTAGTGTTATTTTATTTTCATGCATTTAAAAATTATTGTTATAATTTAAAAATATTAAAATTTATTTTTATTGAGAATAGAATATAAAAAATTATATTGAATGAGTAGATAATGAGTTCCACATATGTATTTAAATGAATGGGTAGAAATGTGGGTGTGTCTTTAAATAGAGAGAAATTTAGTGGAAAGATGATGTAGAGATGATGTGGATGAGAGAGATCGTTACTTTTTTATTGAATTAATGATTTTTATCTTAAGAGTTGTGGATGCCCTTACAGATTTGAACTGTTATCTCACTGTTAGTAAAATAAAATTGTAAAATACCTGTTCAATTTATATTATAAATATATCTTAAACTTTGATAACTTTTTTATTTATCATCAGCTTTTCATATATGATGTATCTAATTTTCTACAATCGCGGGTTAAACATCGTTAATACATATATAAATATAAAATAATTATAAATACCTTTATAAAAAAATTAATTATTATAAAATTATCATAATTTAATAAATGTTGTTTATTAATTAAATAATTAGTTTTTAAGCATATTATACTTTATAAGGTAGACAAATCATTATAACATACATGCCTAATGAGTGATGTAAGTGATGAGTGTCTCATTAAATAGAAGTGATAACAGACGTTTTAAAAAAGTGTTTTTTAAATCAAATTTGTGATCTTTTTTAGCACAATTTTTTCTTCGAATAGGTCTCTTCTATTACAATTTAAGTTAAAAGCGTTTGTAATTGTAAAACACCTAACCTATGTGAGGTGAAGGCAAAAATTCAATTTTAGTCATCTAAATTGGTTATTGTCCAGTTTTATTACATCAATTTTTCCCTCTCTAATAAAAATAGTCCACTATTTTACAATTGTTTTTCAATTTTAGTACAGTAATCCCAAGAGACCGGATTACATGATGACGTGGACAAGGATTGAAACGACATTGATGTATAAGTCTTTTTTTGTCAAAGATTATTGAAGAAAATTATAATATAGTGGACAATTTTTTTTATGAGGAGAAAATTGATGTATACAATGGCCAATTTAAAGGACCAAAATTAAATTTTTGCCGTGAACTAAAATTGCAACTTTACGTGAACTACTCCAAATCACAAATAAAATACAGTAACATCAAAGGACGACACATATGACATATATACATAATTATAAAGCATAGAATAATACTTTCAATTGAAGAAAATATAATATTTAATTGTATTATTTGTTTTAAAAAAAAATATATATATATGTATCCAGCTGCCTTGATGTTTAGGCGGACTGACCACCTACTTTTCATTGTTTTGTTTTAATTTGCTTAATTACCATACTAATTAAAGTATTAGCGTACTGACTTATATTACTTTCCAAACACAAAAACACCAAAGGGCTATCTACATCTGATTTCCTTAAATTTCAAAATACGCCTGTAGGGGCAAATATTGAATTTGAGTAAAAAATACTACAAAAATGTTTTGCTACCTGGTCCCTAATTTGTTACTTACCGCTGTCAAGAGTATTTTTCACATTTTTGCATCTAAATTAACCGAACTCTGGAAAAACACAGAGGCTAATTACCAAGTCATTAAAACGAACTTAACGACAATAATTCCTAATTTAGTATAGAGAAATGTTACGGTCCCGTTACGGTAACATCTCGTCGGGTGTTTTAACCGTTGGTCCACATGTAGTTAGATAAGATAGATGATCTAAGATTAAAATACCCGACGGAATGGTACCGTAACGGGACCCTAACATTTCCCTTTAATATAATATTGTATCAATTAAAAAGTGCAATAGAAATATGTACATATATATGTATATATATATATATATATATACAACATATGAGAGTCGATTACTATGGTCTTTATTAAAAGTTTTTGATAAGATCATAGTTGCACAGACTTAAATTGTTAGTCACATAATCACATTTTAATTAGAAACATATGTATAAAAACAGGCCAGCTGGCATACGTAGACGTGGCCGTGACGAAATAAGTGATGCCATGGTTGAGTAAGATTGCATTCACAGTATTTCCACACCTCATGGCAAAACAGTAATTTAAAGGACACAATCATTATTCATCTCTTTAAAATTCTCCTACATAACATACATTTATTATAGGAAAATGCTACAATCCTGTTACGAAACCATTCCGTCGGAGTTTGTAATCGTTAGATCATCATGTAATTGTTGGAGATAGTTGATCTAACGGTTAAAAATTTCGACGGAATAATTTCGTAACAGAACCGTAGCATCTCCTTTTAATATATATCATTTTTCCCCCTTTCTCTTCTATATTTCATTTAAAATAATTTTATTTAATTTATTCCTATTTGTATCATTCACCATGATTAACACAAGAGAACAGGGCCTTTGGCTTTTGTAGCTCCCCTGTACCTTTCCAAAAAACCAATGGGGGGCCCCACAAAAAACACACACGCACACACACACACACACACACCCCCATAGAGACAACATATTATTTTCACACACACATAAGTACATAACTTATGGACAACAAAATTACCCAAGAAAAAATAAATAAAAAAAAAAGCCTAAGTTTTGCACTTGTGCTTTAGTATATATATATGTAGGTTGGTAAAGGTAAAGGTGGCACTTTTGAGTTCATCACAGCTAGCTACCAAAAACATTTCATAAATAGTTAAATACACAAATATATATATCTTATAATATAATTAATATCCCTACACAATAATAGTTTTTATTGTAATTAAGGATAATGGGAAGACAACCTTGTTGTGACAAACTAGGGGTGAAGAAGGGGCCGTGGACGGCGGAGGAGGACAAGAAGCTGATAAATTTCATAGTGAGCAACGGGCAATGCTGCTGGCGGGCGGTGCCGAAGCTGGCGGGGCTGAGGCGGTGCGGGAAGAGCTGCCGGCTGCGGTGGACGAATTATCTCCGGCCGGACTTGAAGAGGGGGCTTCTTAACGACGCGGAGGAGCAGTTGGTCATTGATTTGCATGCACGTCTTGGCAACAGGTACCAATTAATTAAAGTATTATTTCAATGTGTTTGAGTAGTTTGAATTATTTATTGTAATATTAATTAATCAATTTATTTGTTATTTATAGTTTTTTATTTGAAAGTTAGATGGATATATTTTTTTCAACTGATAAAGTAAGTTAATTTAGTGTTAGACAGGTTGATTATGTAATATATCACATTTTTCTAAGTAATATATATACTTTCAAACTGAAACATCTTACTTTAAAGAAACAATGTAATTAAATAAAAATTTTATCATTTTAGTATATATTTTCTGCCTAAAGCTATTGCTACCTTTTTTTTTTTTTTTTTTTTAAAGGACAGTGGAACTAACGTCATTAAAGTTAATTAAATTAATTGAAGATTATTGGAGAAGTGTTGCCAAGGATGTCAACTAAATGAAGACAAGTGTAGCCCCTCAACTATAACTATGTCCCTCCTAAAACCACCTAATTGGTTAATTAATTTAATATTAAGTACTGGTGCATGGCCTTGTAATTATATTCTCCCTTTTATGATGGTGATAATAATAATGGAAGATTCTAAGGGGCCCGTTACAAAACCATTCTGTCGGGATTTGTAACCGTTGAGATCAACTATCCACGACAGTTGCGTGATGATTTAACGGTTATAAATCCCGATAGAATGGTTTCGTAACGATACTGTAGCATTTTCCTAATATTTCATTTCGTTGTTTTTACCTTTTATGCTCCGTTTAATTAATCTTTTGAAAAAATAAGAGGCTGCTTTTCTATCAAGTGTTCAATAATTCTCCATTTTTCTTCCCTTGTAATCAATTATATTTCCTTTGCTTTAATCATACAAATTCTTATAATATAAAGTCAAATAGGGCATATCCTATAAAATCAATTTGGGGTCCTATATGGTTTTGATCCCAAATAGAATATCCTTATTCACAAGTCTTTTTCCCTATAAACTTTCTGATTAAGGGTCCTTTATTTTTTCTCTTTTCAATAATAAAATTATGTTCTTTAATAAATTAGAGTTAAAGTGGGGTATAAATTATAATTCAGTCCCAACCTACACCATGTAACTATCTTTCAAAATGCTATTATTTGCTAATTTGCATCTTTTTCTGACAACAGTTAGTTGAAATTTTGTGTTTGTCATCAGGTGGTCCAAAATAGCAGCTCGACTGCCCGGGAGAACAGACAACGAGATCAAGAACCACTGGAACACACACATAAAGAAAAAACTCCTTAAAATGGGAATCGACCCCGTCACGCACGAACCCCTCAACAAAGAAAACGAAACCGATCAAAACCCGCAGACCGAAATTTCCCCTGAATCGGGAAAAGAAAGTCAGGCTCAGGCCCAAGCATCCGGGCCCAACAACACCATCCCCATGTGCCCTGACGAGCATTCCTACTCGCCGGCCGATCAGAACAGTTCATCGGACGAGTCATCATGTTTTCCCGACCGCAACTTTTACGAAAACGATCCTATAATCAGCTGCCTATTTACAGATGACCCTCCCCAAGTCGAGTTCCCCTGGGAATTCCCATCCCCCGGGCACGATCTCAATGTGTTTTGCCCGACTTCTTGGGATGAGAACAGTAATAATTGGCTACTCGATTGTCAAGATTTCGGGATCCACGACTTTGGGTTCGAGTGTTTTGATGACGTGGGAATGAATAATGCTCTGAGTTCATTAGATATGGGGAACAACCAATAAAAAAAAAAAA